CGCAAGTACAGTGAGGAGGCCTCAGGGGCAGAGCAGTGTGCTCAAGGGAGTTGATGAGATGGGGAGGAGATGACGGGGAGCTCCTCAGAGGAACGGCTGTGGGCATTTCAGCCTGGAGAAGCTCAGACGCTTGTGATATGGTGAGGGACTTCAGAAGGATGCTTCCGTGGGTTGGGGAGACTCTAGTTGTGTGCATATCTGGGGGAAGAACGACATGGGGTGAGAGAAAGCTCTGCAAGACAGACTGCAGTGCAGTGTGAGGAAGGGCTTGTGCATGACCACTTGTCGCTGTGACTCTCACTGCCGGGCTCCTTGCACAGGCGTCTCACCTAATCCCTAAGAGCTCCAGCAGGTGCATGCCACTCCCGTCTCTGCTTTGTGGGAACATATAGCTTGACCAGTGACACTTGCTACCAAGTTTTGGGACCATGAGAATGCCAGCTCTCAACTGTCTCCTTGTATGTGAATTAAATGAGATAAGATGTAAATAATTTAGCAGTACCAAGCACAAATCAAGTATTGTTGCTGATAATAGTGATTATAATCTGTAGGAAGTGCTGTGTGACTCATCATGGTGGGTGTTTTTAGTTTTCTATGCCTCCTATAACAGATACTATAAGCTTAGTCTTTTAAAACAACATATATTTATCTGCTTCCAATTCTGGAGGCCAGAACTGTGAAATCAGTTTCCCTGGGCCGACATGCAGGTGTCCACAGAGCTAGGCTTCCTCCGGAGGCTCTAGAGGAAAATTCATTCCTTGCCTCTTCCGGCTTCTGGGGGCTGCTAGCATTTTGTGGCCTGTCGTTGTACCTCTCCAGTCTTGACCTCTGTGGCTAGTGCTTTCTACAATGCCCTCTTCCTTTGCATTTAAGGCCCCTGCAGGTTATTCAGGATAATCCCCCATCTCAAAATCATTAACTTGATCACATCTTTTGCCACATAAGGGGATATTCAATTTCCAGGTATTAGGAAGCAGCTATCTCTGGTGGTTCATTATTTAGACTGTCACAATGGTATTTTTGGCATAGACCAGTTTTTCTCTCCATTATTAGAAAAAAATTTTCAGCATCTCATGACTTAGTGAGAAATCATATTATCTATTCTTTGGGATACCTTTTTCTGAAAATGTAATAGATTTTAAATAACATGGGTTAGAGGTAAAATAGTATTTCCAAATAGATATCTGCACAATTTATTGAATAATAATTATTTTCACATAACAAATTTTAGTCATATTGTTTTTTGACTCTCTTCAGTTTAGCTGTCCATTTTGTAGGATTCTGCAATGTGTTATGCTGCTTTATTTACCATATAGTGTTGACATGCACGTTTCTAGCTGTTGGATTAAGTTCCTTTCTATTCCTCATTCCTCATTTTCAGTTCACCTGGCCGATCACTCTCCTACTGTTTACTTCACCACTGGGCATTTCAACTTAAGAAAATTCCTATTATGTTACTGCATGCTGGGAAGAATAGTAGATAATGGAATTGTCTGCCCACCGTGATGGTCTACTCATCCTATTTCTAGTTTTCTGGTGATTTTTCTTGAATCCATTGAGAATTTTTGACTTTCTTGTTGAACTTATGTGGCTGTCTAATTCCAGACATATCTATCTGCGAGATGGACAGATACAGATGTACGTCAGTAGCATCTCCTATCCCTAGGGCGTGTGTTCCCAGAACCCCGGGGAGGCCTGAAATCACAGGGGATGATCAATCTTATCTGGACTCTGTGCTTTTTCCTGAGACTACGAACCTGTGATAAAGTTTGAATTATAAGTTAGGCACGGTAAAAAGACTAACAATGATAGATAATAGTAAAATAGGGCAGTTGTGATGAAATACTGTGATAAAATTATGTGAATGTAGTCTCTCTTTCCCTCTGTTACTCTGCTGTCCTCACATTTCCTTGTTTTTTTCTGGACTATATAGGTTACTGAAATGGTGTAACATGAAACTAGACAAGGCAAAGGCTACTATCTATTTAAATTGTATCTTTCAAAAACTTTGAACAATTAAATTAAGATTTATGCTGACATCAATTATATCCTTAATTCTATATTTCATTAGCTTTATTTTTATTGAATTTTCTTATGTAGCACATCTTTTCTTGAATTCATTATTCTGGCTTTTCCCCTTGCCTAGAGGAGCTTTTCAAGTAATCTTTAATTTTTAAATAAAGGGTATTTGAGAGATAACATTTCTGTGCCTTCAAGCATACCTTTACTTTGTCACCACATGGAGGAAAGTAGCTTGGCAGCCCGCAGAATTCTTGAGTGTCCATACCACTTCCTTAGAATTCCGTAAAGATTGTGTCCTGTCTTTGAGCACAGTGTTTCCGGCGAGAAGTAGGAGGTCAGTCTGATTTAATTTCCTTTCAAGCCGCCAAATTTTTCCCCCATAAGGAAGCTTGTGGTTATTTGTCTTTGCTCCTGGAGTAGCAGTCTGCATCTGGAAGTGTGTGTTCCTGCAATAAACCTGTGGCCCAGGTCACTGGACCTAAAGTCCTTCTTCAGCTCAAGGGAATGGTCTCCTCTTGCTGCTTTGCATGGCTACTGACATTTTGGTCTTATAGATGTTTTCGGGCAGGGGATGAGAGAAGGTAAATATAGGACACTTGTTTACGCTTTCCCCAAACCAAAATCCGGGTGTGGACTGAGTGGAGAGGACTGAAGCATGCAGTGCAGGCTGCACCAAATGACCTTCCAGTCTCCTCTAGGTCAGGAGGATCCTCTCGAGAGCCTAAACATGATAAAAGGCTTGAGAAACTTCTACCCAAAAGGCCAGAGAGATAGGACTTAGTTTAGTCTGAAGAACAAAGTGAAGTATGATAAATGCCCAGGTCCATCAAGCCAAGGCAGATGTAAGTGATTCCTATAGGTCATTACAAATTCCAGCTGTGGTGGCGTGCCTTTGTAGGACCAGCTGGGGCAGGAGGATTGCAAATTCCAGGCCAGCTTGCACAATTTATCAAGGTGCTGTTTTAAAATAAAAATAGAGAGTTGGGGATGTAGCTCAGTGGTAGGGTGCTTGCCTAGCATGTGCAAGTTGTAGGTTCAGTGTTCAGTACCAAAGCAGAAAAATAGAAGTTGTAGGCTCCATCCTCCATTGATGCGTTGCCAGCCCAGGTCAAAATGCCCCCTTTCCTGGTGGATTAAGAGCTGTTCTTTGTAAAGATAAGAGAATGGACTGGCACTGCCTCTGGCTTCCCAGCAGCCTTGAGGTATCAGGATTCTACCTGCTGCCTGTGATATGAGATGGAGAATAAACAAGAGCAGATAAACTCCCAGGGTATGGAATCTTGTTTTCACCCAGCCTTCTGGATCGTTGTTATTACTATATTAATGTGAAGAAAGAATATTCCATCAGAAGCACTGTTGATCTTCCAATCATCTTTCCTTTCGTTCCTGAATTCTTAATCAGCACCCTACTCCAGCCCTCAATGTGGTCATAGGCACTCCCTCCTCCTGCTTGGCTGTCCCCACCCCCAGTCCCCGGCAGAGAAGAGGTCAGGAGAAGAGAGGAGTGATGAGAGAGGAGTGACAGGCTCCTTGTGGTGGGTCTTAGCCTTGTCACAGAGCCTCCTGGGCAGTGGTCACGGAGAGCCAGCTCCGTGCTGTGTGGCTGGTGACGCTTCTGGCAGCCAGTGCCCAGCCAATCAGTGACAGGCCCAGCTAGCTAGGATGATGACACATGAAATATGATAATTTTCTACTAAAGAGTCCTGAGAGGGGGAAGGGACCCGTGTGTGTGTGTGTGTGTGTGTGTGTGTGTGTGTGTGTGTGTTTGGGAAGGCAGCACAGGTAGCACCTGAGAGGTGAAAAAGTGACTGAGACAGGGCTAGGCAGGGGGCAGGGAGTGCTGACAGTAGCACTGGACCCACAGTGGCCTAGCACCTGGTGTGAAGAAGAAACTGGAAAAGGTATTTGTCTTCCCTTCACACACACGTCAGGGTAAGAGTTTTTTCTCCTCAGAGCTATCTCTATTTATTTATTTATTTGGGTATCAGGAATTGTACTCATGACCTCACGCTTGCCAGGCAGGGCCTGTACTGCTGAACTATATCCTATATCCCTGGCCACTTCCTCTTTAGAAGCTAAATCACAACTAGAATAAACACCACTTGGGTGGCTGAAGAACTCGGTGAACTTTTAAATTTTAGGCTGGGAGTGGTTTAATCCGTCCACCCCCTTTTGCTACCTCCAGTCTGCACTCACCTAGCCCTTAAAAAGAGATTAAAGAGCAAAACACTTCATTAACAAAATCTTGCAAAGTCTGAATCTTCAAGATTCTGAATTTCAGACTGAGTTTGGATTCTTGATTCTGGTTGGAAGCAAATCTGTGTCGGAATAAGGTATGGGCCTGCATCACACTAGAGAGCCAGAACTGCCCTTTTTGCCGAGGTCTTGACCCCTCAAGTAGCTGGGCAGGGCGTCGAAGTGGTTTCTTCCTCAACCCTGCTGTAAGCTTCCTGTCCTATTATAAAGAGTAAAGGAGAGGCCCATCAGGCATATGTCTAGGCTTTCATTTGCATATTCTTTCCATATATCCTTAGTATATATGAAATATGTATGTATATATAATATATAGTTTTAAAGGACATTAATCAATGAAATCTTTGCCACTGTGTGCAAGCCTGCCTGCGTGGCTGTAGGCATGGGACCAGCTCCCTGCTCTAAGAGTGGAGTGATGGCAATTCAAAAGTGATAATTGGTGTACTGTATCTTTAAAAGGTTAAAACCCTTTTCAAAAAAGGTCTGGACTCCTAGTGGAAAAGACAAGAGGCATGCGGTTGGCTCTAGATCTGGAAAACAGCTGCTGATTAGAGGCTGTGTCTGAGAGCTGAATTTATTCCGTGTTTTTCAGCAGCAGGAATTCGAGAGGGATGCTTCTGTTTGGGTTTCTGGTCGTGATTTATATTTATTCAGAGGAATAACAGAGGGTGGATCTGTTCCCGGAGCGAGCATGCTCACAAGCAGCCGACTCTCCCATTATCCCGCTGCCTAGTTTGGTGCTCCCGTGTACATGGCTATTCTGTGTGCATATGTGTGTGTACAAACACGCATGCATGCCTGGATGGACATACGTATGCAGAGGTTATTTTTTAAGGACAATTCTTTCAATAAGGTCTTTACCCCTTACTTAAAACAGGTGTTCATGAAAAAAATGCACAAAATCCCGACTGGCCGGAATAATTCATGAAGAAAGGGCTGGATTCGTGGGTCAGAGAACACAGGACCAGGTTGCCATTCCAAGGCCGAAGGTAGGGGGCTTTGGGTTTGTATTTGGCGGCGGATGGATTCCTTGCGCTTTATTTTACTGATTGTGTTTTTGCCTGCGGCCGCCACGAAGAAGTGCATTACCGAGCCGAGATTCCATTTTGTCGCTGCCTTTCTCAGGCCAGGTGTCCGGGCGGCCGGGTGGGCGTACGTGGCCCCTAGGTGGGCCGAGCGCTGCTGGCCGGGGCGGGGAGTCGCGGGAGCCTCCGGTGACCCCGCGCGCCCGTCACCCAGGCAGCGGCAGCGGCGGCCCTGGGCGCGCTCCTGCGCTCGCTCCGCAGCAGCGCGCTGGAGACCCGCTCTCTGAGCCGGGCGGGCGGCCAGAAAGGCATCGCTTCTTTCTCCTTCTGCCCTCGCTGCTGCGGCTGGGATGGTTGAGGCCGACTCGGGTGTCTCTGTTGTCTGGTTGGGCACGAAATTCGTAGGATGCTGGATCCAACACAGAAGGGAGACTTTTCCCTCCCTCCTGAATTCTGGCCCTGTGAAAATGTTCTGTAGTGAAACCGTACTTCCCTCCCCTCAAACCTCACCACACCAGACCAAATACGCACTCCTGTTCTACAGCAGGTGTGCCTTACCAGTTGTGTTCTACATTTCATCACTGTTGGAATGGAAACGCTGAAAGGGGTCCGTGGTCCTGGGGGTCTGGGCTGTGCAGTGGACTCATGAGTCCGAAAGCTTGGGCTGAAGCGGTGGTGTGGACAGGTGGCGCTGGGCCTTGGTTTCCTTTAAGTCAGGGGGTTTGGTTTATGCTGCCAGTCAGGACTAGGTGCGTGGCTTGGCCTGCCCTTGAACTTTGCTGGCTGTGTTTGCAGGAAGGCCTGTGGAACCCGGAGTTAGGTGTGCTGTGGGCGCTGAGGGCTGGGACTGTGGCCCTCTTTTAACTGGCAGCCCTTAGCATTCTAAAGGCAGCAGCCAGGGGCCCTGTAGCTTGGGTTTTATTAACTCTGATGCTTTCTGGTGTGGCACAGGTGGGGAGGGCCAGGAAAGGTGAAGAATGAGGTGCTTGCTGAACTGATCTCCATGGAAATGTCCTCCTCTAGCTTGTGTGATTATGTAACCCCCACTCATGATCAGACCCTGTGCCCAGCCAGCTCCCCAGCCATCAGCCAATTCCCTGCCTTCCCCCACCAAAGCAGTTGGGTGCTGCCTTGTTGATGGTGCCTTTCTGTGATCATGTGTGTGATGGGGCAGGGAGTGTGTGGTAATGAGGAACCATATGAGTAACTCCAGTGTGAAGAACACAGGCAGAGACCGTGCATGTCCCACTGAGTGCAGGGTAACCTTGGCATTCTGGGTCTGTGCCCGTCTGAGCTGAGAGCCTCCCACATCTCAGTGACCAGCCAGTGCTTGTCTGAACTTTCAACTGGTCATTTCCCCACTCTGCTCCTGGAGAAGGTTGGACCCACTCCTGCAGGTTGGACCCACTCCTAACTCTGTAGAAACTGGCGTCCCGAATCCAGGGTGGCCTCTTAGCTGTGAGCTGCTCCCTGTGCTTCCCATTGAGCAGCTGGTGTGGGAGTAGTGTTCTTCCCACTGTGAGTGTGTGTGCGTGTTGGGGTGGGTGGCCATGTGCTCTGGGCTGACCTGTCCTGGGAGGCTGAAGAGCAGACCTCAGATGCTAGCTGAGCTCTGTGGCATCTGTTCCTTAAAGCTGAGAAGTCCTTATTATGCATGAATATATTAGGAGGTTTTATATAAGGTAGAACAGTTGACCCACTGGGATATCTGCAGGCAGAGGGAAGGGCCTATGCGTGTGACCCTTGACTCTTTCCTTCTTCCTTGTTGTGTCTGTCAGAGCACCTACAGGACACAGAATTGTTAACACAGTCCTTCCTGTCATACCCCTTAGTGCCTCAGCTGGACAGATTTGTTAATTTGATGGCAAAGTCTGGGCATTGAAGGGCAAGACTATCTTTTTGCCCTCAGGACTCCCAGAATTTACTTTAAGGGCCAACTACTAAGGTGTGCTTTGTGAGAGCCTGCGTTCTTGTGGTGCTGTCCCTGCCCATGGTGTTCTAGTGGTGGCCACTTTCCTCCGGGTGGAGAAGTGGCTGCTGTCTTTGGGCCATTGCCAAGTGAGCTACAGAGGATTTACTGTGTGAAAGGTACAGGCAGGAAGGTGATGCCTTTAGTTAGAAGCCCTGGCAGATTTCAGGACCTGACTTGATGGGAGATAATGTTAAGAAGGCCATGTGACATCTCCATAGCTTTGAGCTTGCTCCTTGCTTCCTGCTCAGTGAGTTCTCTGTCTTTCAGCCTCTTTTCTGTGCTCTGTGATTCTCACCAAGGAGGCCCCGGCAGGCTGGTCTTCCTTCTTTCTTCTCAGGAGTCAGAATGTTAGAACATATGTACAGATCGCCAGCTGTAGCGGGCAGGCAGGGCAGGAAACGCTGGCTATGTGAACAGGTAGCCCTGGCTTCTGGAGCCAGGCCGGGGAAGGCCTTTGATGTATATGCACAAAACCAGTAGAACCATCACAGCCTTTTCAAATGCACTAAGAAGTTTTGAGGAAAAAAATAAGATAGGCTAAAAAGTAGGATGCTCTGTAGCCAGTGCAATTCAGATTTACAAGTGGTAAAGCGAGAACGTTCTTGTAAATTTATGTGCTATGGTTCATGCATTTTGATCAGTAGAGGAAATTTCAGACCCTGTCTCAGTACTCCGTATTTATTTAAAGTTCTCAGAGGCTTGATTATTAACTTTGTTCAGGGCACTTGCAAATTGGAAGAGATTGACAACTATCCTTGAGTTATTAAAGCTCTTTAATCAAATAATATAAAATAATAGGAAACAAAAATTAAAATTAAAAGGTATAAGAATTCAAAACATGGAATTCAGAGATGAATATAAGTAATGCACACAGTTCAATAAGATTTTCTATATTCCCTTGGATCTTTAGGACTCTAATTGTGTAGCACAGTAACTAAGCCTACGATGGCCCAAGTATACCAAGTGCATGCAGTTTACCTGGCATTTGATGTGTCCAGTTTGAGAAGGCATGAGAACTTGAAGTACAACCCGGATGGATTTCTGGCTGATTGTTAGTGCAGCTATTCAAGGTTTCTGGACAGCCAAGGGCTTGCTGATGTAATTGCATTACAACTATAAAGCCCTGCTTTGGGAATTAGTTGAGAACTTCATGATCTTTTGTTGAAATTTAGCAGGAAACTATTACACTATTATTAGTAGTGGTTATGTTTTAATATTTGATTCTATAGAAAATACTAAGAAGATAACATTCAAATCTCAATCTGAGCTGGGCATGGTGGTACACATCTGCTGTCCCAGCACCCAGGAGACTAAAGCAAGAGGATCACTGTGAGTTCAAGGCCAGTCTGAGGTGCATAAGTAAGTTGAAGGCCAGCCTGCACCATATAGTGAGACCCTGTCTCAAAAAACAAAACAAAACAAAAACAAACAAACCCTCAATCTGTCCTGAGAGCAAAAGACGTACTTAGATCCCTTCCAACCTATATATTTTTTTGTTTTTAGTGCTGCAGTTGGAAGAGGGCTGGTGATAGAAATTGAGAGGAGAGGTGTTCCCTAGGACCATCTGTTTTATGCATCTGTGTAGGGAATGTGGATTTACCACTACTAGTGTGTTGTTCTGGCAGAAAAACAAGTTCAAGGTGTTCTGGCTACACCCATGCACGGCAGTGGTGTTCACTCAGTTCAGACATTGTGCATGGACCTGATGGGCCACTCACTTACGAGAGCAGCACAAGCTTGGCTGGACCCAATGGTGATTTGCTTGGATACAGTTTTCTCTAAAACAAAGGCACAAGAAAAACAAAAGTAGAAAAAAATGAATGCTGTACTTTCTTAGAGGAAATTTAGAAATTCATATGTAGAAAACATGAAGACCTATTTGAAAGTCAAGGAAAAGCATTGATGAGTTTCTAGATACCTGTAAGTTCATTGTTTTGGTAACATATTTGAATAAATTCTTAAATTTGCTAAACGAAATGGTTGATATCAGATCTTTGAATATAATCAGAAATACTTGGAATTGCATAGAGATTCCACTTATATAAGAAAACGGAAGGTATTGTAATAATTTGGTGAGAAAAAAACTCCCTTGAAATCTCAGGGGACTTGGAAAGTAGAGGATGGAGAGTTGGCAGGAAGTAAGTGAACCCCATGGTCCGGAGAGTTGCCCCACTGGGCAGGCCAAGGTTGGGAACACTGGTTTGGGAGCAGGACGGTGAGGACAGCTCTGTCCGGGATGGTACCCATGAGTCCATGAGTGATGGGACTGTTACCTTCAGTACCAGTTGTCAGAGTGCCAGGTGGGCTGGGATTCCTGTGGAAAATGGAGATGGGTGCAGCTCTATACTAAATGTTGGGGTGATCTGAGGATGCCCCTCAGGCTGGAGAAGCAGAGCTATGGAGAAGCATAGGGACACATCTCAGGAGTCTTGGGAGCTCCTTTGGTATCCCTAGACTCTAGAGTGAAAGTTCAAGGGTGAACTTTATAAAAATCAGGCATATATGCTTAACTTGAGATTCATAAACAAATAATAGAAAGAGAAGGAAAAGTTAAAAGGAAGATTACAAATCCACAGTATGCTCTGCTAAATTTGTTAAGAATTTGAGTCTATGTAGTCACCTGTTGTACTCTCAGGGCTGACATTCGGCAATGAAGCTATCTTAAGATCAGAAAAGCTCCGATGAAAGGGATTTAATAGAAAGGGAATTTGGAAGACTTTAATCAAGATTCACTATGGTAGACCCTTGACATTCTCAGTGATGTACCTCAAACCCTTGGCCAATCTTCACCCTGCAAATGCAGAAATATTTGCATAGGCTCTCGACTTCCTCATTCACCTGGTTTTGGTCCAGAGTGGAGCAGTTTCTGTTATTATTTGTAGACCACCAGTTATTTGTCTTTAGAACTCAAGGAAATAAACTTTTTCTCATGTGCAGAGAGTTTCTTTGTCCCTGGTGGTACAACAGGGTGGGGATGATGGGCCTCAGAGAA